GCGGCCAAAAGCTTGAACCTATAAGCGCGCGAAAAACTTAAACAAACAATGGCCTACAGCAGATTTGCTTCGCTGAATGAAAGTGAACTCTCCAAATTATTGGCAGATAAGGATAGTGAAAGCACGAAAAAAGCCACAAAGGGGTAAATAGAAGTAGAAATAGAATATTTAGCTGACCTTTGACTTCGTGCAAGGTGTTTGATATTCAAATTGTACTTTTCCTACCTCATGAACGGGAATCGTTTTATATGTTTCTCATGTCTTTAAATGTATAATAAAACAATTATTGGATTCGGCTTTCGCATGATATCAAGAATTATTCAGACCTCGGTCTATGTTATCCGCCTCAGCTTCGCTTCGGCAGATAACATTGACCTCGGTCTGAATAATTCTTGATATCATGCTCAGCCTCATCCAATAATTGCTTATTATTAACCATTTCTGACACAAATAGTATTTGCAAAATATAGCACATATTTGATATTATAGTCAAATAGTACAGTGTACTGACAGTACTGTATACTATGTATGGATTAAAACTACAGAAAACCTGTACAACACAAATATGAGTAAAGTTTTCACGCTCCATTTAACTGTTGTGATATTATACGCATTAAGTATACGTTTCTTTGCATTTCCTTTGTAGTATTAGTATATAGCGCAGCTCTGAAGAACCAAAACAATATTCGTACACTCCTAAACGGCCGCCATGTTGTATATAAAAATATACGGTTAAAAATTAATTTTAGCAAAATTGCAACATTCCATTGTATACCAGCAACCAATCATATTCATTTCTGAGATGGATTATCCCAGAGCCTTCGTTTCCTTCCCAAGGATCGCAGGCTCGGGGAACGAGATTGACTCTATCTCTAAAATCCCGTGTCCTACACCTATTTTCGCGCCCTTTTCCTTCGTTTCCAGTTTTCCCTGTCCGAGCAAATATAACTAAAATATTAATGTAAACAGTAAATGTCCAACAGTAACCAACCAATTTCCATAGATCATCTGCTCTATGAAAGGCCACGTAAAGTCCGTAGCAGTGATATAGGTGCCGTTCGACCCGGATTTTTGTGGTGGTGATGTGTGGTGGTGGCACATCATCATTAGCATATAATGAGGTGGAGTGAGGCAGAGGAAGGGCTGGGGAGGGACGGAAGAGTGCTGGAGTGTGGTGGTGGTGTGTGATGGTGGCGTGTGGAGGTCGAGTGCGGAGAGTGTGGTGGTGGCGCATTATCATTAGCATAGAATGAGGTGGCGCATCATTAAAAATGCAGGTCACTGTTAATGTTGTTGCTGCTATAGGTATAGAATCCACGGCAAATAATATAAAGTTTCTCAAAGATATAGCAAACTGCTTATGTTACTTTAAACCAAATAAAAACGATGGTTTTACTAGCATATTTTCAAAATATTTAGATTTTATTGAGAGAAACAAATGCGTTAGAAATATAAATATTATGATGGTAGAGTTGTCAGGTAATCCCCACGCGTATAACACAAAGGTTGAGGTAATTAAGGGGATTAAGGCAATACGAATTTGCATAACCAATAGGATCCTAATGGATATAAATGGATATTATTGCGGGCGGTCGTGGGCATGTTCAGCATTATTTAGCAAACCTCCTACATACATATATATTGTTAAGATGATCGATTCAAGAGTCAGATCATAAGAAAGCTTATCAAGAATACTTGAAGGAAAAACGTTTAGAAAATGTGTAATATATTTTACAATAGAAAAGAAATATTTTTTTATCAAATATGCGGTCGTTGGGAATCACTACCATCAGTGGAAATCACTACCATCAGATTTCTGGTTGCGCAATGGGTTCACCAGTAAGTGCGGTTATTGCTGAGCTAGTTATGCAAAGGGTGGAAAAAATTGCTTTGAGAACATCCCCAGTGCCGATACGATGGTGGAAAAGATATGTTGATGACTCAAACGCGTGTTTAAAACAAAACGATATAATAGCTTTTCATGATCATTTAAATTCTATAAATCCTTGTATTCAGTTTACCATTGAAACACCGGCAGTAAATGGAGACATGCAAACAATCGCTTTCCTGGATACAGAGATTTGTAAAATTTCTACAGAAATTTCGATTAAAGTTTTCCGTAAGAGCACACACACCGACAAATATCTAGATTTTGGCTCACATAGCCCTGTAAGAGACAAAATCGCAGTTGTAAAATCATTATTAGACCGAGCGAGAGTTATTCCATCAAACCAAGTTTTACAGAAGGAGGAAACGGATAGAGTAGCAGAAGTGTTAGAGTTAAATGGATACAAGAAAGCGTTTATTGATAATGTTAGAAATACAAACAAAAACACAACAAAATTCTTCTGAATTTGAGATTCGTGGCTCGACGTGCATTCCGTATGTGAAAGGTGTGTCGGAAAAAGTCAAAAGCATCTTAACTCGAGCAGGCGTTCGTACAGCATTCAAGCCGATAGTCACGTTAGAGAATGTATTCAAAAAACCAAAAGAAAGACCACAGGAAATGCGAACAAAAGCTATTGTGTACAAATTCAAATGCGAGTCGTGCTCATTCACTTATGTCGGGGAGTCTAAAAGATGTTGGTGTTCCCGATGGCTTGAACACAAACCAGGCGTAAGAAAAAAGACTTTTTCAGCTATAAAAGAACATGCTGAACAGACAGGTCATGAAGTCGCTAAAACTGACGTAAATATTTTGGAAAAAGGCATTAAAACTATGACAAAAGAAGGTTTCTTGAAGCGTTACATTCTGTACTAGACAAAAATGCAGTCAATGAACACATAGAATTTCCGGTTTCGTATTTACCATTGTTAGAATCAATTGAGTGTAACGGGATAAGGCATAAAAGGACTTGAACTAATCGAACATGGCCAAAATACTCTGAAGAAGGCTGCAGTTGGCAGCCGAAAATTTAGTATGTTTTTATTGAAGATTTTTAATAGATCAGTTACAAACTTTTACAAAAATATCATGTTATCCACTGATCGCCCTAAAAGTATATATATATATATATATATATATATATATTATTGGTGTAGACTAAGACATGATATCTGAAGATAATTTAATAAAACCTAAACCTATTTATGATAAAAGTCTTTTATCATAAATAGGTTTAGGTTTTATTAAATTATCTTCAGATATCATGTCTTAGTCTACACCAATAATAGTTTTGCTCTGCAAAATCTTACCTGCATTGAGCACTCTTCAGATACGTGTCAGCATCGACAAACAAGACATATATATATATATATATATATATATATATATATATATATATATATATATATATATATATAAATTAAATTAAGGTACAACAAATCAACAAAATCCACTAGGCATCTTTATTACTAAATAGTTTCGTACCACAGTATGTGGCACTCTTCAGATAAATTGACCTAATGACTATAGACTAAAACTTACAAGGTTATATGTACAAGCGGATGAGACATGAAACTTAATCCTATTTACAAAGCACGCGATTTAATAAACATGTTATATGATAAGCTGACAGGACGCGGAAAGATTAACACGCCGCGGTATATTTAAATGTCTAGCTTTTAAATGTTACTTAAAAGGAATTTTTTATTATGCCTACATGCTGATACTAACTCATTACGTTTGTTTAAAGTGGCCATTTTAGGCTTACAAATAATAAAGTATTTCTCCCATAAACACAAATTACATCTATTTGAAGCACAGTTATAAGGCTTAGCTCGTTTTAATAGTTTCCATTTGATTGTATAATGGATGTTTCGATTTTCAATTCCCACACATATTCAAAAGAGCTAAATGATGCTTTATGGTTCGCAAGTCTTGTGTGCTTCAAATAGATGTAATTTGTAATTTCAAATAGATGTAATTTGTAATTTGTAATGTAACTGTGCTTCAAATAGATGTAATTTGTGTTTATGGGAGAAATACTTTATTATTTGTAAGCCTAAAATGGCCACTTTAAACAAACGTAATGAGTTAGTATCAGCATGTAGGCATAATAAAAAATTCCTTTTAAGTAACATTTAAAAGCTAGACATTTAAATATACCGCGGCGTGTTAATCTTTCCGCGTCCTGTCAGCTTATCATATAACATGTTTATTAAATCGCGTGCTTTGTAAATAGGATTAAGTTTCATGTCTCATCCGCTTGTACATATAACCTTGTAAGTTTTAGTCTATAGTCATTAGGTCAATTTATCTGAAGAGTGCCACATACTGTGGTACGAAACTATTTAGTAATAAAGATGCCTAGTGGATTTTGTTGATTTGTTGTACCTTAATTTAAATATGCTCTGGGTTTCCATTGAGCACTTTGCCAAAAGTTTTTATAACCAACAAAACCAAATTTTATATATATATATATATATATATATATATATATATATATATATATATATATATATATATATATATATATATATATATATATATATATATATATATATATATATATATACGTTGCTATGTGTTGCCAGTCTTTAATTAGCGACGCTTTGGTGCATGCATATATTAAAGAATAGTTTTACACGCTTTCTTCGTGTTTGGCGAGACCGTAGTTTCGCAACAGAGCGAATGTAATTGTACATATTTTCTCAAGGGTTACATGAATATTGTAAGATTTCTTACTGCTAACTTGATAAACTTACAATGTTGTTACAACTTAATTGTTGAAAAGTTAGTAGCTTCATCCGAACACACCTTATTGATATTTTCGCATAATGAAGTAACCGTCCAATGGGGATAGCTGAGATGAAACCTGCAACCACGATCAATAATATTTGATGTATGAAGTTGAGACAACGGATTTATGCACGGTGCGTTGTAGTTCAACATCAAACAAAAGGCCTTATATAATGTAGCTTTGAAGTTTTCGTTGCTTCCCGACAATCGTATCTTGACAGACTATGTTTAATATACCTGCACGGTTAGTTGTTGATTATTTCAATCGTTGATCGATCGCTTGTGCAATAACTGACTGAGTATATAATTGTTTTAATATAGTTCCAGTTTTGACATTGGCCGATATTATATCCACTCACGCTGTCCCTTCTGAAATCGAGTGTTCATTTAACTGTCTCAAAGAGCAAACCTGTGTTGGATTTAAATACAAATATGATACCAACAGTCCATCAGTAAACTGTCTACTCAGCAGCACTACTGGAAAGAACAACTTGGCAATATATGGCGATCAAGGCTGGGTGTTTTTTATGGACGTTAACGAAGATATTGGTACGTAGAAAAGATTGATATTTAAAGTACCGGTGATACGAATCAGTTCATTGTATAAAACAAGGGAACTCTTAATACCAAGTCATTTCTCTATAACAATATTTTAAAGCCATTGCGTCGTTTGATTAATTTTAACAATACACCATTTTAGCAATCGCTGATTGGCTAAGGGTATTGCTAAACTAACAAGGAGTTGGCCCTCAGCATAACCTTTCGAACCACGAATACAGAGTCGGTTGCGATGCTGAGCATAGCTAATTTAATTTTAACGTTAATTCATTTGTGTTGTATACTTGCAATCGAGATTTAATTTGTATATCATGGATGCTTGTGCAGGTATACCACAACAAAAATACAAAAAAGTAAAAAATACAAAAAAATGGCAATTATTTAATAATCTTATAATGATTTCTATAGAATACGTATTGACGATAACGTCTTATAGAAAATGAAACACCTCAAAACAATGCATATATACTTTACTGTAGGTCGAGGAACCTGCAGGAAGCCACTCGTACGTATTCTTACATTAAGTATCCTCTTCTGAAGTACCCAATAGACCTTATCCATCATTCGCAATCAGTGCCCCGTATCCTAAGAAACATGAATAAACAAGACGATACCACAAGCGAAAGTTGGCTTTTCCCTTACTTGAAAAGCCAACTCAGGACGCCTTAGTGTCGACTATAAGAGCTTTTTTTTAGTGGTGTATTTTGATTTGTAACGAATTTTGTGCGTATTTTAAAAGTTCTGAGACACTTCTTCAGACATAAAGTTGTAGTTGTTTATATTATTCCATACGTTTTGCCTGTTAGAATTTCTTCAGTGGAAAATTATAAAGTCTTAATTAAAGTCCTCTCTCATGTTTCCATGTAGGATAGTCCAAGTTATGGTGAATCGCTTGTGTTTCTTGTTGGATTTTAAGCGTTTATTACAACGTCTCTTTTTAATATTGTCAAAATGCTTCTTAATTCATAAATTAACCTTCCTGATTCGCCTATATGTGTGGTTCCGCAGGTTGAGCATCGCATTTTACATTGATTAGATTTCGTAGCCAGATTACATGTCTGTCAATCGCTAGGACAAATACTACGCCATAATTTCACACGCTTTTTGGAGCGAGCAAGGGGTCTAGTGGCGTAAATGCCTTAGTAGTTGTTTGGTCAAATTGCTCCGGTGCAATAGGAAGAATATTTACATGTACGGCGAAAGAAGAGATTTACGTTTGACCGCAGTTGCGTCGTTGACAGAACTTCCATTTAAATTTAATAATCCATTTTCATACCTGAAAATGAAAATCATGAAAATATTTTTACCTGCACTGCATTAATAAATATCCATTATTTGAAAATTTACAGAATGTAAAAATGCAATGAGCCTAGGAATGGAAAATGGTAAAATTAGTGACAATCAAATCACGGCTTCTAGTGAATATGATGTGACTAACGGAGCACCAAATGCGAGACTGAACTTCAGAGCACGTGACGGATTAGCCGGGGCATGGTCTCCGCGAACAAGTGATCAGAGTCAATGGCTGCAAGTGGATTTCCAACGATTTATCAACAGTACAGGAATAAGTACTCAAGGCCGAAAAGGCTGCGGTTGTAATCAGTTTGTCAAAAGCTACACGATCACTTTCAGCGACGATGGAGAAAAATTCCAAAGTCATAAACCTGGGGGAGTAGTCAAGGTAAGCTGAATTGCTGTCTTCCATGTGAGGTGACGAAATTGCATTGCGTTTTTCTTATTATTATTGTTTTAATTTTAGGTATTCGTGGCAAACACCGATATAAACTCCATTGTCAATCACGTTTTTACACCATCAATTGTAGCTCGATGGATTCGCATTCATCCAAGAGCTTGGAATAACTATATATCCATGAGGGTCGAATTGTACGGTTGCTAGCTCTTATTGGTGTTCTCTGGTGAAAGTATCTTGTATATAAATCTATACATCACCTTTAGCTATAAATCAACATGGATACTAACTGTGTATGTAACTTTTAAATTTAATGGTATTTTTATGGTTATAGTCCAGTCGAAACGTAGAACATTTATAATAGGCTATTCCAAATACTAATTCACGATTTATTTAATGTTTTTTAAAATTGGATTATATGTGTATCTTCAGCAAATGTTGTATATCACAATTTTGATATTGTGAAATCTATTAAACAGCTATATAAGTAGTTAGCTCTGTGTTTCTTTTAACCATGAAGAAGCGCCATACAGTAGCAAGAGGGATGTTGGCGGGACCAGAACGTGGACTATCCCACGCAACCGCACAATCAAACAAATCACAATTTCTCAATTTCATAGCACTTCCCTCGTAGTTGTTTGAGCACTCTGGCCCCATTATTCTCTGCGCATGTCTGGATGCGTTGGTAGCCCGTGTTCTACCACATGCTCTTGGTGAGAGCAACTGCATGTGTATATATACACGGATGTCAGCACATATCTAGACGTGTACCAAGCTGCACTGACCAGGCGTAGTACGCCGAAACATGCATGGCTGCAGATCATATATATATATAAATATATAAATATATATATATATATATATATATATATATATATATATATATATATATATATATATATATATATATATATATATATATATATATATATATATATATATACCAAATATGTATTTAGAATCATATATGAGTAGAGTGCTCGATATACTGAAGTATAGAGCTAATATAGATAGAGATAAAATAAATAAATATATACATATATATATATATATATATATATATATATATATATATATATATATATATATATATATATATATATATATATATATAAAACTTCAAGTTGGAAACAAAATTTATTAAACTTCAAACAAATACATAATACGTTTCGGGGCACAGCCCCTTCGTCAGAAACGAGATAAGTTCAATCCATGTCTTTAAATACTTTAGGCTCAATCTAATTAAGATACACTAATAATATATAGACTTGCATATTAACATTCCTCCCTCAAATTTAATCCCAGTGGTACATATGTATTCAATTTTTCAATCCAAAAGCTTTCCCTCTCTGTAGGTTTATTAATATCCGTGATATCAATAATCTGTGCTTTAAAGTCATTAAGACCCGAATGGCCCTCCTCAAAAAAATGTTCATACAAATGTTGACCACATAAACCTCTTTGGCCCTTAGAATATCTATTAAGCGAACTCTTGTGGTTATTAAATCTAAGACGAAATGACGTTATAGTATTGTGTCTTTACTAATTTTTTAAAATGGTCCACTGTTTTTGCACTACGAATGTCATTTGGTAGTGAGTTCCACAAATTGGGCGCTGCTGATATAAACGCGCGATCGCCTAAAGTTTTCAGTGATTTGAACTTTGGCTGTGAGAGTAATAATTGATCATTCGATCTGAGATGATATCTAGATGGTGCTTTTACACAGATCAATTCATGTAGATACTCAGGAGCTAGTCCATGAATAACTTTGAATGTTATTAGTAGAATCTTGAAATCTATCCTGAATTTCACTGGAAGCCAATGTAGATGTATCAATGTGGGAGTTATGTGGTCAAATCGTGACATATTACAGATGAGCCGGGCAGCAGTATTTTGTACTCTCTGTAATTTCAGTAAGTGAGTAGCAGGTGTCCCAAACAACAGGCTATTGCAATAGTCTAAGCGGCTTGTTATTAAGGCATTGACCAAAGTCTTTATGCTTTCATTGTCCAGAAATTTCCAAATTTTCCTCAGATTATATAGATGATAGAATGCAGCTTTGCAAACTTTATGTATATGAGTCACCATGCTAAGTTGCGAGTCAAACCAGCAACCCAGATTGCGAGCTTCACTAAGTGGTGTTAGTTGAACGTTGCCTACTCGAAGGGTGTCAACACTGACTTTGGCCAGTTATTGTCTTGTGCCTATAATCATGAACTCGGACTTCCCATCATTTAATTTGAGTTTGTCAGCGAATATCCATTTCTTAATGTCATCAATAGCATTCTGCATTGCTGTAACGGCAGTGATTTGATTCATGGCATCGTCGGGTTT